TGTACAGTGCTTTAGAGTTCACAAAGTGTTTTTATGTGCATCATTTAATTCTTAAAATAACCCTATATATTCTCATTTTATGAAAATGGAAAAGGAGGCAACAGACAGGTTAGGCAGCTGTGCCCAAGGTCATACAAATAGAAAGCTGGCAGAGACAAATTTCAAACCTAGATCTTCTGACTTCAAATTCAGTGTGCTATCTAAAACATGGCCATTGCTTCCCTAATTTGTAACACTACCTCAGGAATTAATCACATAGTCAGAATTTGACAGCTTTATTATAAACAATTGCAGTATAAAAGCTCAGTCGCTAATGCTCATATAATCAGATCTTATTGAAAGAAGAGCATTGGCAAACAACCCCCAAAACTCGAGAGTTAGAGAAGGTGTGGATTTTATGTCTGTTCCTAAGTGTAATACATAACTGGCAAAATATATGTCTAGCCTAACATAAATGCATAATAAAAGTGACATTCTCTCAAGCTAGAAGAGTCTCACTTTCAAGATATCCTTTGCCTTTGCCACCAGCACTGACTTCCATTCTGGTTCTGCAACACTTCAGGGTATCTCTAACCACCTCTGGAATTTGAAAATATAAATAAGCCACACTTTTCCAGGGGGATGTATATGACAAAATTTTTTAAGTTTGTGACTTATTGACCAAGATGAAAATCACTTGGCTAGAATGTATTTTTTCCTCCAAATGTTCCTACTGCTTTCCTATTAAATTATACAGGAGAAATTGTACATGTAGACCACTGTAAATCTCGGTTTGGTAAAAATGTACCTTCATTCATCATTCCTAAAACTATGTCTCATATAATTCTGTTCCAAAGATGTTTAGGTATACTACAGGCAGGAATCATGGTAAGTGGCATGGGATACAACAAACCCCTTTTGGAGATCCACAATTCACAAAGGACATTAATATAATAAAAGCTCTGAGAAATTCTTCATCACAGAAACCTTTGTTTAACCCAATTTACTCAGACACAAAATACTTCTACTATGGCGTAACTATTCACGTCTTATGTTCAAGGCAACTGCTGGAATAAATGTAATTATTAGCTGAGCACCCACAACAGACATGGCAAAACATGGGTAATTCTGAAGTCTTTCCTACCACAAAAACATTAACTCTTTAACAAGTCCCTACTTTCAGTCTAGTGAACTCTTCACCCACCAGAGTCTAGTTCAAATATCACCTCATCTGAAAATCTTCCTCCAGCACTCCAGATATTGGTAATTACTCCTTTCTCCTGGTTTAGAAAGCATTTTATTTATGTCTCTACTACCTCACTTATCACATCATACATCACTGTTCATCCTTCTGTCTCCCTTGCTAGCTTGTGAGCTCCTTGAGAATAAGTCTGATTATATTTTCAGCACTTTGAACAGTGCGGGACACGTATGAGCTTAATACGTGGTAAAGAAGTACATGATTTCACTATGTTATAATAGTTCCCAGAATTCAATACCTGTATTTCTAAACTCTTATACTGATATCCTACCAACAATCAGAGAGTGTTATGCTCTCTTCCTAAAACTTGCATGCACCACTGCACACCTGCTCTCATGGTTAACTCAGTTCTGACATGCCCCTCTGGCGAAGCCCATTCATAGGTTTTTCCTTAGGTGATTTTTATTTGTTTGCTTTTTGCTTTTTCTTTTAGTCTACTTGAAGTATTTAGTAAACTTTTTTTTTTTTTTTAATATCTTTGTGCCTTTCCACCTGCTGGTCCCTGCTTGGAACGCAGTCTCAAGATTTTATTCACCTGGGAATATTCCTACTTATCGTTTAAGAATAAACTCAAACAATATCTTCTTTGGGAAACTTTTGCATCCTTCCCCCTTTTTTGGAGGAGTTAAGAATTCCTCAAGTTAGCTGCCTGTAAGTCTATTACTACGTATCAGACACTGTACTAAGTGCCAAGGATAGAAAGATGTCAAGATGTAGACCCTGCTCACGGTTTAGTAAGGCAGACAGACATATGAACAAACAATCACATTATAACAGTATTAAAGGCAACACCAAAGGGAAGATATATTGAATATCTGACACGTGTCAATTACTTTGTTAGGTGCTTTATTAAACATCATGTATAACCATGTTAGATAGGTATTTGAATTGAACAGAGTCTACGAGACTCTAAGGACCGCCGTACCCTTAGTTGTCTTCTGAAGAAACGATCTCCAAGAGATTCTTTTTATATATGCTACAGTCTGTACCACAGACAATGCATGAAACCAACCTACTGCTGTGGCCACAAGTGACTGAACCAGGGCTAAGTTCCCCAGCTGAGGACAACCTACAGGTTGAACTTGAGGGAAGATCAATCATGTAGGATATGACTTGGCTCAAAATCCTGCACAATGAAGGCCATTCATTTCGCAGGGTGACAAACCAACCCAAGAAGATACTCTCTCGGGAAATACAGGCAGTCCCCAGGTTACAAACAAGATCAGTTCCTGAGTCTGCCTTTAGGTCGAATTTGTAGATAAGTTGGAACACGTGCATATGGTTCTTATTCAGCCTTACTTCAGCGCAAGAAAAGGCTCAAAGCCTTTTCAGTGATTTAAAAGCTGCACATGCAGCAAGTGAAGGTAATTGTGATGAAGAATTTGTTGTGAGCAAGAGGAGCAAGGGTTGACTGAATCGTTTCAAAGTGAGGGCAAATTTACATAACATTAAAGGGCAACGTGACATTGTCCACAACCTGAGGACTTAATGTATTCCAATCTGGGACTCTCCCCTGAGTTCCAGACTGTTGTCTGTCTTCCTTACTCAAATATAAGACCCACAGTCTGAAACAGAGCCTGGCTTATAATAAGTGCTTAATAAATACTTGTTTAATGAATTATCTAAGAGGCTGCAGGAACATTTTCCAAGAGTTTGGGAGAAGAGTTACCATGAAATGGACTCCAGGAATCATTTACAAGTAGTTATTTATAATGAGAAGTACCTGGGTGGAGCAAATGATTAACTCCCTTGCTGCTAACCAAAAAGTTAGAGGTTGGAGTCCACCCAGAGCCACCTCAGAAGAAAGGCCTGGAGATCTACTTCTGAAAAATCAGCCACGGAAAACCGTATGGAGCAAAGTTCTACTCCGACACATATGGGGTCATCATGAGTCCAAACTGACTCAGCAGCAACTGGTTTTATTTGTAATGAAATATCAGAAAGATAGAGAAAACAATGATTTGGATGGGGCCAGTGGCAGGCTTCAAAAAGATTTTGAAGGAATAGGAGCTCACTAGGCACATAAGGGGTGGAAAAAGCTTTCAGTGCAAGGGAACAACAGGTACAGAGACCCAGAGATGTGAAAAGATCAGACAGGTTCAGAAAATGGCACTTCAGGAAGTCTAGAGCAGTGGGAGAGGAGGCTGGAAGCTCAGTAGAGGCCAGAGCACCAAGGGCCACAGTACTGTACTGTGCCCTGTACACACCCTTTACTACATAACCTCTCTGTCTGCATTTACTTCTTGGTTTACAGGTCTCTTTTCATTAAACTGTGAGCTCCTCAAGGGTAAGGTCTCTATGAAGAATTCACAGCTATACCAAAAAAAAAAAAAAAACCCACTGCCATCAATTCTGACTCATAGTCACCCTATAGGACAGAGTAGAGCTCCCTCATAGGGTTTCCAAGGCTGTAATTTTTACAGAAGCAGACTGCCATATCTTTCTCCCACCAAGCAGGTTTGAACTGACAACCTTTTGATTAGCAGCTGATCTCTTAGCCGCTGAGCCGCCAGGGCTTATCGTAACTATAGTCCTCTACATTTGCAAATGAGCCAACAAATGATTACTAAGCACAAATACACCTGAAAAGACTGTACAAAATTAACTTTGGTTTTCAACTGCAGCCCTTATAGTAACTCACAATAGTGATCAACTCGTAGATTTGTAATTTGTCCAGGTCTTTTCCTTAATGACTGTTAAAAACTGTGTCGTAAATCCTTTTCATTGTTCTAGGCACTTGTTTGAACAGTTTTAAGATCTTCCTCTTTTTAGCGTGATTTACTAACAAGTCTCAAACATATGATCCATTAGACAATGCTGCCACCTCAGAGTAAACGTTCTTTTTAATCCACTCTATTGGACTTACTTCTCTCTATATACAAAATATAATCTTACCATAGTAAAATACAAGGGCGCATACTGATATACATGTTACAGGATAAGGAAAATAAGAATTCACAAAGCTTGCAAAATCCTGGCCAAAACAGAATGACTCACTGCTTACATTTTGCCACTGAGAACTAGAAAAAACAGTCTCAATTTACGTAAAGTCATGAAACTAAGCAGTTAGAATTTACAAGGTTTTAGACACATATGCACTCTCTCACACACACCCTAAGGGAAAAAAGCCCACCAGGCTTACCCCAATACTTAATTTCCTCCTTCCTCAAAAACAAAACCCTCACTGTCCAACATGTAAATTAATATTTTCAAACCTCTAAAATCTCAATGAAAACTAAGAGTGGTAAGTTAGTTTCTCCCCATAAAATTCCTGGCAAGATTTATTTAGACTCAACATATTTTGCACTATTATCTAGAAACATATGGCTGGAACAAACACAATTGAAAACCAAACCGACATACTATGAAGGTGAATACAAGTTCTCTGTCAAAATAAGGACTATTCTTTTTAAACAGAACGTTCTATTATCCATAGGTTGAGTGTGATCAAATCACAATGTGCTACGCAGCTAAAGTATGTCCTACATTTGATGATAAACGAGGGTGGACGGGCCTTTACTGCAAATTCTCAGCCACCCTAGTTACTCTGTTTTCAATATAATCCAATTCCATCTACTTAAAAAAAACAATAAATTTTAAATCCCTTGCTGCCAGTAACCCTTCTCACCTGTATTTTCAGCAATTACCACCAAAAGAACTGTGCTGGGACAAACATTCTAGAGAGGGTATAACGATCAAATGCCATCTTAAGAAAAACAAGAATAGTTTACAACTAACAAAACGGATTAAAGTTCCCAACCTTGCAAAGCTTCCCGTACAGTGTATATCTGCCTCTCTCGTATTCACCTTCCAGTTGCCTGGAAGAGGCAAATGGAAAATGTTAGTTTCCAAGAGAGCTGAGGATGAAATTCAGGGGGTGGGAGGGTGAAGGACTCACTCGCGTAAAAGAAGGCAGAAGACAAGAAGGCAGAAGACAAGCGGCCAGGGTTCCCAAGTCAAATTAGGTACCGAGAATGAGGGCTGGAGTGAAGGGGAAGGTGGAGGGTATATGCGAAACACAGATAACACGAGGGAATCCGCCGAATGGGGGAGGGGCAAAAATGCGCAACTCCTCCCCTTTCCGTCTGCGGGCGAGGGGGTATGCAGCACTGGTCAGATTGCCGAGCAGTGTTGCACTGGGGTAGTGAGGGGACTCACAAGCTGGAAAATCCAGTTCGAGTGTTAGAAGAAGGCTGAGGAGCTCAGGGAAGTTGGGGGGTGGGGGTGGGCAGCATGCCTGTGAGGGGGGTAAAAAGGACTAAGACACCCCCTACGCACAGTCCCAGGGACGGGGGTGACCCCAGCGGACGCCCCTTCCTTCCAATGGCCACGACGTAGGACCCCACCGGCTTACCCTTCCCACAGGAGCTCGGGCAGGCGCGCGCCGCCCCTCACAGTCCCGACCACGGCGGGAAGAGAGGCGCGGGGCGCCCCCAGAGCCTGGACCGCGGCGCTCCCCCCGGGTCCCTTCCTCCGTAGCCGAGGCGACCGAGCCCACCTGGGCTGGCCAGAAGCCCCTTCTCCAGACCGTACTCCGCCACTCCTTCGAGAGTCGCAGACGTCGCCGTCGTCAGAATAGTCTCGGCCTTCAGCACCAAAACGTGAGCCACACACAGCACAAGAGAAGCGCTGCTCCCACTTTCCAGGTTACCTCTTACTGCACACTGGCTCTTCACCCCGCCCCCAATCCAAGCCATTGGTTACCGGGCACCGCCCCCGTTCTTCTATTGGACCGAAGAGGATGCCGCTCAGTCACCTAGAAGGGCATATGTGGTGTTTATTGGTCTAAATGTGAAGTAGTTCCCTCCTACTCACTCAGAAATTCCAGCTTTTGATTGGTTGTAACATCTGTCTTTTTTGCTTTCCTCGTTCTTTTCCTCGGGGTGGGGAGCGTCCTTGCGGGACACACCGACTCTGATTGGCCGACAAGATGCTACACCAGTCCAGGATAGGTATTGGGCCAAGGATAAGTCCAGCCCCCACGGGGTGGGGGTGGAGCCCAAAAGCGCAGCACCTTTGGGTTTGTTTACACAGGCTCTTGCTCTGCTTCCTTCCATTGGCTGAGCCTACAGCCACTCCCACCAGGTTGCGCCACTCAGTGCAGCGAGGAGCGAGGGTGGGGGCGGATCTCAATGGGATTTCCCCAGCTGTCAATTACCTGGGGAGGAGCTTTGAGCAGGCTCTTGCTGACCTGTTGCTGGGGTTAAGCACGGTAAATTGGGGAGTTGGGCTCCTTGGAAGGCCAGAAGGAAGCAGAGGGACACGTCCACATTTCCAAAAACAGCCTAACTTCTTGAGAGCTTTTTTAAAAATAAAATCTTATTTTTCTCCTGAATTTCAGGAGTCTATTGAAAGGCATTCGACTGTGGATTATAACAAATTGTGGGTAACATTGAGAGGAATGAGAATTCCAGAACACTTAGTTGTGCTCATGCAGAACGTGTGTCTATACCAAGAGGCAGTCGTTCGAACAGAACTAGGGGATACTGCGTGGTTTAAAATCAGGAAAGGTGTGCATCAGGTTGTGTTCTTTCACCATACTTATTCAACCTGTATGTTAAGCAAATAATCTGAGAAGCCAGACTGTATGAAGAAGAACGATTGGATTGGAGGAATACTCACTAACAACCTGTGATATGCAGATGACACAACCTTGCTTGCTGAAAATGAAGAGGACTTGAAGCACTTACTGATGAAGATCAAAGACTACAGCCTTCACTGTGGGTTACACCTTAACATAAAGAAAACAAAAATCCTCACAACTGGACCAAGAAGCAACATCATGAGAAACAGAGAAAATATTAAAGTTGTAAAGGATTTCATTTTACTTGGATCCACAATCAGCACTGATGGAAGCAGCAGTTAAGAAATCAAATGATTCAGTCGCAAAAGGACAAAGATTGCATAAGACCACTATTATAAGAACTCAAGAAAAAGTTTAAACACAGAAAGAAACATTCTTTGATGGTTATGAGGGTGGGGAGGGAGGGAGAGGGGTATTCACTAACTAGATAGTAGACAA